AGAGGAGGGAGTGGGGTTGCAATTGGGATATAAAATGACCAAATTAGTACATTAATGAAGAAAAATAATATAGGCTACCATAACTTGTGGAATAGGAAACAAACCTGAGTAATTCTATAGCTAGTGAGGAAATGAAATTTGTAATTTCACATCTCTCCAGAATAAAATACCCGGGGTTTCACTGGAGAATGAACCAAGTATTTTAAAAATTAATATCATTTCTACATGCTATTTGAGAAAATAGAAGAGAAAGTTACACTTTTTAACTGATTTAATGAAACTACTGTTCTACCAAAAGTAGAGACAGACAATGCAGAAAAAGAGTTCCAGAGATAACTCATTAATAAATTTGCAAAGTCCTTGAAAATAGCAAAAGGAAATGCATATTCATGCTTATAAATTATACACATCATTACATAGCCAATCAATTTAATCCACTCTCTTGAACAGGACAAAGAAGAAACACCACATGGTTGTTTTAGCATGATACAGAAAGGACATTTGGCAAAATTGAACATCCTCTTGTGATTTAAAAAAATAACTCATTAGAAAATATTGTATGAAAAATCTATTTTCCATAAAAAAAGGGAGTCAGAACTCCCTGATCTAATCTTTAGAATTAGAAAGCAGTCATGACTATTTTGAATAATTTTATTTTGTGAAATGACAGTTGTGCCTAGTCTAACTGTAGTTTAGGGTCCTATGTACCAATTGTATTAACATTTTCTCATTGAATAATGTCTAAAGAAAGTGAGCTCATATTTTTAAACAAAAACAAAAAATAGCTTAGAAAATAGGTGTAGGTAACACCATTAAGCTAGACAAGTGACTGCAAAGTCCTATAATTAACACAATTAATGGTGAAAGATTGAATACTTTTCTCCTAAAATCGAGAACCAAACAAGCATGCTTATTCTCACAGGGGTTATCCAACATGGACATGGTAATGGAAGTTTAAGCCAGTGTAGCCAGACAAGAAAATAAAATGAGAGACATACAGATTACAAAGGAAAAAATAAAATCAACTTGCTTTATAGGGCATTGGTATCTATGTATAAAATCACAATGAAATTTTTTAAAAGACAGCAAACAGTACAAATATTTAACACCAACAAAACATAATTGATGTGTTTGGAGATGCATAGAAACCCACAATTTGATATGTTACTCTACCTTAGAAATGAGAAAGGAGACACTGGAATTTAAAATGAAGTATCATTTATAGGCATTCACAATACTTATAAGTCTAACAAAGCATATGTCAGATTCATTCACGGAAAACTGTAGAATAATGAAATAGAGCAAGGTAAGTGGAGAGTCGTGCTCTATCCTTGAATTTTAACACAGTGTTCATTCTTCCCAAATTGAGGTGCAGGTTTATTGACTCTTATCAAACTCCCAGCAAGAATTTATATAGGCATCGACAATCAGACTCTAAAGTATATATGGAATGAAAAAGAAAATAATAAAATAGTAAGAACCCATGTGTTCCATTTCTGGATTATAGCTGCAGTTATCAAGACTGTAACCCCTCTTTTCCTCTAATGCTCTCCACCATAATTTTTTAAGATTTATTTTTTTTATGCATTTAGGTGTGCATGTATGTGTATCTTCACACATATATATGACATGTGTATGTGGGTGTCCATGGAGGCCAGAGGATTGTATTGGGTCCCCTGAAGTTGAAGTTATAATTATAAGCCACCTAATGTGGATGCTGGGAACCAAACCTGGGTTCTCTGGAAAGGACCCTTAACTGCTGAATGCTTAGCTATCTCTCTAGTCCCTTCACCATCTTTTTTTTTTTTTCTTCAGACAAGGCCTCATTATATAACCCTGGCTGTAAACTTGGCTGGCCTTGAACTCACAGAGACCCCTCTGCCTCTGCCTCCTGAGAGCTAGGCTTAAAGACATGTGCCCCACTCAGTTTCGGCCTTAATCTGGAGCTTACCCTTTCAGCTGGATCCACCTGTCTTCCCCTCCCCCACCTCAGCACTGGAGTTAACAGTCACACCGCTGTTGAGGGCTCAGGCTCTCATTTGTATACAGCAAGTGCTTTGTGATGGAGATGGACAGAACAGTGGGACAGAACAGAGAAGCCAGAAATGGATTCACACAGATAAAACTTGCTGAGTTTTTACAAAGCAATGGAGAAGAGAAGGCCTTGCCACAGACTTTAGGTCAGTTAGACATCTCTAGGCAAAATCAGCCTCAACCAAAACCTTGTATCTTATACAAACATTAACTTGAAAGTCTTATGAATCAAAGAGCAATGATAAAAGCATAAGGCCTTTAGAGAAAATCAGTAGAAAATCATTAGGACCTAAGGCTCCACAAAAAGTTCTTAGAGAAATGATTAGAATGCAAAAATTTGGACATCACCAAAACTGAAAACTTTGGCTCTATAAATAATTGCCTTCAGGTGATGAAAAGAGAAACTATATAAGAAGGTGTAGACTTTTCAAGCCGCACATTTAACAGAAACATGTACTACTTGTATGTACAGGCTCTTGGATCCTGAAGTTAGAGTTGTTTTATTTTGCTGTGTTTAGTGCTTTGTGTTCCTGTTTCTATTTCTCTTCAGTTGCTCCAAAAGAACTGAAGATCTGTCAAAGCGATCTGCCCCGGTGGCTTTGGCAAGCTGTGTTTTCCATTTTCAGAATAGTTCCCAGGGCCGCTGTCTCCTCCTTCGGTGTGACTTGCTTGGTCTCAGAGATGGTCTGTTTTTCTTTTCTAATTGCTGCAGAGGTTCCTTTATCTCTTGTCTGTGCACATTGCTTCTCCTCCTCCTCCTTCTCTCCTCCTCATTCCTCTCTTCCTCCTCCTCCTCTTCTTCTTCTTGGCTTAGTCTCTCACTGTGGTGAACTTCTCCCTTTGTTACTCTTCTTGCCAAAATTAAAAAGCTAGGATGTGAAGGTTAAGGATGCTGGCACTGTTCTGGTGGCATATAAATTGGTAAAAACCACACTAGAAACATTCCTGCATTATAAAGATCCCTAGAGGCTCAGTAGCTCCATTCAATAGGTATATTATACTTAAATGAAATGGCACATGTATGTCCTAGAACACAAATCCAGAATGTGGTAGCAGCTTACTTGTAACTACCAAACAATGGCCCATCAGTAGATTAGGCATTAAAAAAAACAATAGAGTGTTTTTATACTGTATAATACGATACCAGCAAGCATCAGTCACCTGCATCTAAATATAGTAATCATTCTTGGCATTCATAAAGTTAGGCAAATACGTGAAATTCATTGGTGTCGATGGCAAAAATATACAGGTCAAAGCATGTGAATGATCACAGCAACAGGAAGAGGAACTCAGGGCAGGAGCTTGGTGGGCCACAGCTCAGGTGGGTGCAGATGGAAAGTCAGCATGCCATCTTGGCCCTGAGCTTTGTACCTGCAGGGGACACGTCTTATAGGGAAAGCAAGCCTCTGATGAATCCCTGGACGTTCCTTAGCTCTGGGGCTGTGGCCTGACGCCACACCCCGTGACCAGGAATGACAGGCATGATGCACAGAAATCTGTGGCACCATTCTCTGCAATACATCATACAATGAAAAATCGCTTTTTTACAGTTACATTGGGCCAATATTTGTCTGTTTTAAAAAAAAAAACACGTGGGCAATGAGTCACCTGATGTGAAACATTTATCAGGATTTATTGGAAGTAGGGTACCTGCTAGTCTAAGGAAAAGAATTTGTTTCATGTTGCAGCAGCTTTGAGTAAAATCCCATAGATTTAGTGAATGTTTTCTGTTTAGACATTTTTATATCGAGGTTTTCAACTTTTTTAATCCCCTTTCCTCTCAGGCACTGGTAATTCTTTTCTTTTTCTCATATCTTTTCCTGCATTGCCGTTGTTTATCCAAGTTCTTAGGATGCATTCGTTTTCTTCCATGGTCCTTATTACAAACTATTTTAACATATTCAGAAGTTTCTGACAGTGACAGGTCATCTGAGCTGCACATAGTATGACAAGTGTTGGGTGGAGATGGGAATGGAAAACCTGACCAAGCCTTGAAGATTAAGATAGGTTGATTACTGATGGATGGGAAGGAGTTTCAGGGGTCATGGAGTGAGACAGGTGATTTGTAATCGTGAAAGAGGAATGGGGCAAAGCACATCTCCAAAGACTAACAAATGCCTGTGAGTGATTTTCAGATTACATTTATTTCTGTAATTCACCTGCAGTCTCATGGAATGTAAAGATGTTTCTTTTTGGAGTGTGTGTGTGTGTGTGTGTGTGTGTGTGTGTGTGTGTGTGTGATACATGTGCTATCAGAGGACAACGTTGGGTGTATCTGTACTCACCTACCACTTTGCTTAAGACAGTGTTCTAGTGGAGGGGGTGAAGAGTCTGCTTGGGATGTATTGTATGGGAAAAGAATCTATTTTCAATAATACACACACACACACACACACACACACACACACACACACATATATATACAGTAGCGTCTTTTGTTTGTTGCTGTGTCCATCAGGCTGCAGCCCGTGAGCTTCTGAGTACTCTTCTGCCTCTGCCCCCTATTTTGCTATAGGAGCACTAGAATTACAGATACATACTACCTCTTCTAGCCTCCCATAGACTCCAGGCCTTTAAACTCAGACGCTGGTGGGCATGTGGCAAGCCCTCTGCCCACTGATCCAGCCCTGCTTTTTCTTTTCTCTTCCTTCCTTCCTTCCTTCCTTCCTTCCTTCCTTCCTTCCTTCCTTCCTT